TTATCTATAAATATATTATCTATTAGCGAGGCCGAAGTATTAGTAATTCTTGTAGGAAATTTGACACTATCTTTAAGATTATAGGTACTTAGTAAAACTTCTAGTTTTGATTTTCTGTTATTATTTTCCAAATAATCAATGTTAAAATCCCCACATATTATAAATTCAACATTAGATTTCTGGAGAGAGTTAAGGATAAAATCCAGTTTGTCCATAAAAAAGTCAAAATCACCTATTGGGGATCTATATATACATAAAACTATTATCCTTATTTTATTAAATTCTGTTTTAATAGCTGCTATTTCAATATCCTTTTCTTTGGAAAATTTTTGAACATTAATCACAGTGAAATTATAATCCTCATTAGTGAATATACAAACACCCCCATTTTTGTGCTTCTTCCTACAATAGCCTGCGCAAAATTTGTAGTTAGGTATGTGAATTCCCTCCATCTCGTGGACTTTTAAATGGTGTTCCGATAGACATATTATACTAGGTTTCTCATTTATTAAAGATAGAGTTAACTCATTAATTTTATCTTTCAAACCCCTTATATTTTGATGAAACATCCTGAGGGGGATGTTCACATCATCACTCCTTTTAACCTTTTTCCTTGAACATTTAGGTCTGTTTGTGTCTACCATAAAAAATCTTTATTTCTTGAGATTGTGGACTTATTTGGTCTACTTGAAGATCTACATATATTAGTTCTATCTACTTCTTTGGAATGTATTTCCTGATCTATGTTGTTGGAATGTATTTCCTGATCTATGTTGTTAGATAAGCTTTTAACATTTCTATTTATATCTGATTTCTGTGTGTGCACCTATATACTTTTTTTGATTTGACCATTATATTACCAATTTCAGTGATACTACTCAGAAAATATTTACAATTTGTGTGCATGTACTTAGCTCCTACCAGAAACTAGTCACTATTCACATAATATAATTCCTATTCTAATATTTGGCTACTCCTGAAATGAACCAGTATTTACAAGTTCTATGCTATGGAGCATAGTAAAACAAAGCTTCTCTATGTAATTAAGCACCATGCCATGAAGATGTATGGGAGAGTGGAAGTATAGCTCTGTCCATTCTTAACCTTGCAATAGATGGAGTGAGTGGTGAGCTTCTTGTCCTGGACACTTAACCACCAAGATACTAAATGTAGAAGGTAAAGTTGCCCTTGCACTTAATTAATTAAGCATAATGCCATAAAGGAACATTTGTGAGTGGAGGTATAAACATATATCTTCTTAACCTTAGCACTAGATGGAGGTAAATGATCAGCTTTGCAGCCCAGCTGCTTTCCTCTAGGGAAACACCACTGGTGCCTGTTGGATAACAAGCTGGACGGAATGAACAGCCTGTCTGGATTCTGTAGAGATGAGATCACTTCTGCCTACAGAGAATCAAATTCCTCAGATGTCCAGCTCATAGCTTCTTAACATAAGATTGAATTATCCCGGCTCTTAACTCCCAGGGAAAGTATCTGGCTCAGACCAAGTTCCTTTCTTTAACTTCTCTCCTTGGGTCCCATGGCAAACTTCCTTGTAACTTGCTCATACAACGAAACCAATTCCTGAACATATACACTTATATCCTGAAGGTGGAGTCAGCATGTTCCTCCGAAATTCTAGTATCCGCTCACAAATCGTTGCAGCTCAGAAAAACAAAATCTAATATTTACAGTCTGAAGCTAAAATAGACATGTGTTGCATTTGAGGTTCTCACAGCAGTGACTATGAATATTACTATCATCTGGGACAAAGCACCGTGTAGTCTGTTTAATGACAACTGAGGTTTCGAAGATACATATAGCCTGCATATTCAGGGTGGAATAAGCCAAAGAAGATACCAGTGTGAAAGCAGGCAGCAAGCAGGTGCAGAAGTTAATACTTTAGACATGTGTTATTTAATGTCTTACCCTGAAAAATGTCATAGTGGAACCACTCTCCAGAGTTCCATATGAAATCTCAGTTTGTCCAGCCAAATCTTCAGCATTTTCAATTGGTGTGATCATCCGTTCAACTGTAAGGAAGGCTGCCAGGTTTGCCGTGTAGGATGATATGATGATGAGTGTAAAGAACCACCAGATGCCACCAACAATGCGTGTAGATGTAGCCTAGTGAGTTTAGGGTAGCTCCATGATTATGGATATTGAAGTAAAATACACAGTTTTAATTGTACTATAAAAATTACTGTGTTTTAGATGTGATGCCTTGTAGTCTGGTAAATGTTCTCTGATGTTCCAAAGGAACGTCCTACCTACATCTTCACGGTACAAGAGTATACCAAGAATGGAAACATGGTACAGATATTCAGATATATTATCCATACCAGATTATTTCATGCTCTGCTTATTTTTTGCCTTGACACTGAAGACAGTCAGTTTGCTGACACCATGAAGGGAAGACTATAAGGCATCACATAACATGCTAATGAAAGATGATCTCAAAATAGTATATTAGCCACTTAGGGATGGCACTTTACTTGGAAATATTAATCATTTATAAATAAGATCCAAACGTTTGTCACAATGGTATATTATTACAATTATTGTTTTCAGGCATTATTTATCATCCTGTTTTTTTATTTCAAACACAATGTTTTGGAGACTGGATTCCATCTCCGTCTTCGGGTAAGAAATCTACTCAGTTGGTCTCAGTTGGACCCTATCTCAGATTGGGCCCAAATGAATAAATTTTTACCTGAAGACTGAGACAGAATCCAGTCTCGGAAAAGTTGTGTTTTAAATAAAAACAGGAAAGTGAATAATGTCCAAAAAGACAATAATTGTGTTAACAACTTATATAATTAAAGTTAGTAAGAAGAAATAAAATTATAAATAAACTAAAGAAAGAAGTCTGAAACATTATTTATCTTAAGCAGACAAGATATTTCAGTTATACAAGTGCATCTTTGATTAAATTTTACGTACAGAAACTTCAAGCATTATAGCACAAGTGGTACATATTTCTATTATGAAATAACAGGTAAGTGGTAGAGGGTACTCTATATTCTAAATTATACTTACATGTTTATCACACAATGGATAAGTGCTGCAACTTGATAAAATATTACAATTTCTGGGTGGCCATTGTGTCAGTCCAGTAAATTTATTTTAATTTCTGTACCAATGTATGAAGCTGGCAACTCTGATATTTGAAACTTACATAGTAACAATTATGAAAGAGCTTAAAAGAAACATTTTATAACTTTGTATGGATATTCAGAAATCTAGTATCTTTGTATAAGACACTGACTACAGATATTTCTGTTACAGTCATGGATTAATAAGAGACTTCTGAACATGAATTAAGGTTATATACTTAAAGAATGCACAGAGTTATATTACATTTGGAATGAAAATGACAAATACAACTACATCCACCGAAGAAATTTAGACCAGGTTTAAGTTGGGGGATGATAGTTAATATTCTACCTATGCCTCCTTTGGCCTTTTGTGTGGTACAAAAATGTAAAGTTAGAACTACACTCATAATTTTACCTACTAATTTACACTGGTCTCACAGATTACCAGAAAACATAAAATGAGGCTGTCTGAGAATGAGGCACTGAGGAAAATATTTTAATCCAAGCGGAATGAAGTAGGAAGGGAGTGGAGGAAAGTGCATTATGAGGAGATTTACGATTTCTTCTTTTCACCAGATTCTATAGGGGGATTCAATAAATGGGGATGAGATACACACAGAATGAAACATGAGAAATGCACAATAAATTTTAGTTCAAAACTGAAGAAAAGAGTTCAATTGGGAGACCTAAGGACAGATAATAAGACAATAATAAAAAGGGCGTTTCAAGAAATAAAGTATGAAAATGCAGATTGGATTTTTTTTTGTCTCAGAATAGGGTACAGTGTTGGAAATCTTTGAAGTTGTGAGTTACAAAACAGTAAGTAAATTTCTTGACTAGCTGGCTAAATTGGTTAACTGGTATTACTTAAATCAGCAAGGTTATATTTGTAAAAAATTGTAACTATTGTAATTTTAATCTACTTATATATCAAATTGTTAATATTCAGAATTAACTTGACTTGTCATATATCATGTACAATGATCTACAGTGACGAAATAAATCAATCAATCAATCAATGTGTGTATATGTATATTTGTTGTGTTACATAAATATTATATGAACAGTTTAATTTCCAAAATTTGTTAATATTGTTTACATAATTGTTAATTACCTTGTATAAGAAGATAAACTTAATTTTAAGGCCATTTCTGGGGAACAATAAATCCCATCTTAAACACCACGACCTTCACAACAATGTATCAGACTACTAATGGAGACTTTAGAGCCAAAATATATTTTAAAATAACATAAGATGTTAAAGTGTATCAGTATTTCAGGATCTAAGAGTTGTGTTTTCTGGGAGATAAGGCCGTGCAGTCTGGTGAATGTTAACCAGCATTTTCGAAGAACATACCTCCTCGTTGTTTAGGACTGAAAAGTATGCCAAGCAAGAAACCAGCATGAAACAGGTAACAAGCAGATTTCTGTTTGTTGTCTAGTAGGGATGCAAAATTTAGACTTAAAAAAATGACTTTTCCTTGAACTGCACCATGCCAGTACTATCAAGTATAGTGGAAAATTGTTATTAATTATCTAAGTAGCACCTACACTATGAAATGCTATCCTTCAAAATCAGTGTGCATTCATAGAGTTCTAATTGCAGACTCTTGTACTTCATAACTTGTCTATAGTTGTTGTGCTTTTTAATGTATATTGTATAAGCATTTACATGAATGATAATTGGCCTTCACTTTTAGATGTGGACTTTATATATTAAGACCCTTCATGGAATATCATAGAGGTCATAAAATGCATCTTCATCACAATATGTAATTAGAAATCAGAGATGTAAGATATCACCCATTGTTTGTAAAATCTTTCTTGTGGCAACTAAATCAAATGTAATCTTTGTAAATGATCTAATACTGTAATTCAATAACTGAAATCAGAAAAGGTTGAATCATTTTTGTTAACCAAACTGAATGAATGCATTTTTGTATTTGTTTCTTGTTTGTTCACTCATTTATTTGTTTGTACATATGTTTGTTTGTTTGCTTGTTTATCAGTAAATCATTCTTGGTAACAGAGCTTAAAATTTACTTTCCTTGAATTCTCTGAGCATCTTGAAACTGTCCTTAGCCACTGTGAAAACATAAGCTAACAGATCTTGCCAGCAAACAAGCACTGGTACAGAATGACTTATTCTCATGGTTCAGAATATAGAAGTAAGTATAAGCAATTTATATTTAATTTCTCCAAATAAGGTTTTCCAAGTAACCCTTTGCAAATCTTTCTCAAAATAAGCACCCTCTGCAATATACAATCACTGTGAAACACACTAACAAAGAAGAGGATGTCTAACAAATTGGAGCAGTAAGTGCTGACAATACATTAATAATAAATGCTACTCTATACATGCACAAGATTTGGATCAAGAGAGAAATTGATGCATTTACTGTGAAGTGACAGAAACAAGAAGAGAAGTGATGGCATATCTTAACAATGCTCTAATCAGAAAATAAAGTAACAGGTGCTTATTTTAACAAAGACATGCAAGGTCACAGGAGGGTTTAGTATTTTAGCTGTTCATGACCACCAGTTTGCTCCTGAAGAAGCACCACATGACATATTGTGGAATATGATGATGAGGAATGGAATATGATAATACTCATATGAAAAACAAAACTGAGACTGTAGTGCTATTCACTAATCATTAAGAAAGATAACTTAACTGATTATCATAAGATCTGCATATAAATCATGCTTCAGTGAAGTATCATTTACAGGTTTTATATACTGATGCATTAAACAACAATTATATTAGATATTACCTACTGTCCAGGATATATTTAACAGACACAATATATGGAAGCCAACATTATATCTGTCTTCAGGTGGGATCAAGTCCAGAATACTGCAAACAGTAAACTTGAATACCAATCATAATACCATCATGCTTAAGCATTCTAAAAACTCCGGCATGAAGAAAACCTATTACCCAACGACAGGAGTAGAAACAGTTCCAAAATGTCATGTGGATTAAATATGTATTAGATAATAAATAGTATCCAACATAATGCAGCAGAGCAATAATTCTGGAATTCTAATGTTTCAAATGATATGGAAACTTCTTTCAGCTATTGGATGTTTACCAGAAATGCTGGTTATGTTTTATTAATATGTTAAAACTGGAAATGTCACCATGGAAATTGTTGCAAGGCTGGGGATAAAATTTTATTTGCGTATGCAACTGTGCACATGTGTGAGCATGGTTGCATGCCCTCACACACATGTGCATTAGTTGTGGCATTATTGTAGAATTACAGTTGCAGGCAACCTGAAGTTTAGATTACGTTATTAAGGGAAAATTAATTTTCTTTTGGAATATCTCCAGAGTAATGACACAAATAAACATAAATTTCACTCCATGCTACTCACATCTAACAATCAATGTACGTAGGTCGTACCGTAAGTCATGAGCTATTTTTTTTTTGCATGCAACATGGGAACAGCAGACGAAAGAGAGTATGGTGGTAGGTGGAACCAGCTGTTGTGTTAACCTTGAGTGTCTTGTGATGTCAATAGCTTGCATCACGTGACCAGTATCACGCCTAACAAAATGGCCGACAATGATATGTCGTTTCGCCACCGTGCTGTCATCGAATTTCTTGTGAAATAGGAAATCCCTCCTGCAGAAATTCACCAGAGACTTCAGCGTGCTTATAGAAGTGTATGCATGGGTGCGAGCAGTGTTTGAAGATGGGTGAAACATTTTAGAGATGGGAACACCAGCATCAAAGACGAGCCTCGGAAAGGTCATCCTCGTACAGCCTCAACTGAACGCAACAAGGAAAGACTGGATGAGATCATTGAAGATGACAGGCGTGTGGCTGTGGACACAATAGCCCGAAAACTTGGAATAGGGCACAGTGCAGTACAGGAAATGATTGAAAGCTCGGGCTATATGAAAGTTTGTGCTCATTGGGTCCCGCAGTTATTGACCGAAGACCACAAAGGTCAGCGAAAAGCCATCACCTCAGAACTGCTGAAGAGATATCGACACGAAGGCGATGATTTTTTGCTCTGTATTGTGACAGGTGACGAAGGCTGGTTTCACCATTTCGATCCTGAAACGAAATGGCAGAGTATGGAATGGCACCATTTGCATTCTCCATCAAAAAAGAAGGCAAAGACAGTGCCATCAGCTGCAAAGGTGATGGGCACAGTCTTCTGAGATGCAGAGGGGTTTATTCTGGCCGAATTCCTGGAACCTGGGCAAACCATCAATGCTGCTCGTTATGTCCAGACGCTGCACAAGCTCCATCATGCATTGTGTGATAAACATCCGGGATGAAACACCATCATCCTGCATGACAATGCTCGCCCCCACACCACTCGCCTCACATTGGAAGCAATTGCAAAGACTGGGTGGAAAGTTCTTCCAGACCCTTCCTATAGCCCTGATCTGGCGCCCTCCAACTACCATCTTTTCGGATTTGTGAAGGATCAGCTGCGTGGACAACGTTTTGAGACAAGGGAGGCAATTCAGAAAGCAGTGCGTCAGTGTCTTCGGATGGCTGGAACGGAATTTTACAGAAGGGGAATTTTCAAACTGCCAGAACGCTGGGAGAAATGTGTACAAAGAAGTGGCGATTATGTGAAAAAATAAAGAAAGGTCTGTAGATTAAGGTGGTGTATTTGGTTTGTCAATAATAAATCATGTTACTTTACAAAAAATTGTGCTCATGACTTTCAGTACAACCATCGTATTATAAAGAAAAGTTTTGAATGCTGAAATTGTGAATTTTGCATCAAATGCTAATGTAAATGTGCAAGTGATTATTTTACTATTACTTCCAATATATAAATTTTAATTTTAACTATGAGCAATATTTTAAAATTTGTATGAATTCAAAAACCCTATTAAATATACAGAACTAAGAAGTTTACATTCTATTCAAGTACTTTACAAGAACCTAGTCTTAATAAAAATACTGACTCCTAATTCATTCAAAATTAATAATAAATAATGATCTTCTTTTGACTAAAGTATTTAGTCTTTGGAAATAATAAACATAGGTTTGAAGTCTTTCAAACTATATTACTTATACTGTATTTCAGTAAAGAAAAATATCTAAATATGGGAGGGAGAAAATAATTTCCATAGAAATTAAAATTTAATCGAATTTGTAATTATGAAATATTAGAAATCCTTTATATATTTACATAAATAAAATCTTATGTTGTAACCAGACTCCAATAAATTTCAGCTGTTAATGAACAACATTTAAATATAATAGAACTAAGTAACTAATGTCATAAAGCTGAGGCCTTCCTGAGAAACTGCTAGTTGTGCAGCTACTAAAGAAATTCCCAAAATTTTATGGAACCAAATGGTTCATTACTGTGTACACAAGTGCCCTCTAACGGTCCCTATTCTTAGCCAGATCAATCCAGTTCCACCATCTCATCTTATCCATATTATTTTCTACCCAACTATGAGGAGAGGAATCCATATAGAATATTGATGGGAAAGCCAAAAGGAAGATCACTAGGAAGACCAAGATGTAGGTGGGTGTACAATATTAAAATGGATCTTAGAGAGATAGGGTTGGATGATATGGACTGAATCAAGCTGGCTCAGGATAGTGACCAGTGGAGGGCTCTTGTGAATAAGGTAATGAACCTTTGGATTCCATAAAGTGCTGAGTAGTTCTTGAGTAGCTGCAAAATTGGCGGCTTCTCAAGAAGGCCTCAGCTCCATTAATGAGTGAGATTTAGAATTCCTGAAAGGGCAACTGGTCATAATGAACTCTAAAAGGAGATGTTGTTAGTAAATGGAACTTTCTGTGAACGAGCAGTACAGAATGGTATAAAAGCCATGCTAATATTAGGATCTACACGAAATTAATATCATACAGGTGCTTATTTTAATAGAGAGGAGATATGGGAAGTTGGAAGTAGCTCATAGATACAGCTTGTAAACACTACAGTATTATTTGATACAATATAATGTAATAATACCAAGGCAGTTACTGTCGTGTGACTCTTTATTTCAACAAATTGGATGACTGCAATTATATGAAGAAAAAATGACATCATAAATTCTTTACGCAAAAATCAGAACTATCAGCGATAACTTTAAGACTTAAGTTAGTATGTTAATGATGTATGAAAATATTAACATTTAGAGTTATGATTGGAACAAATCTGGTGTTTGTGCAACTATTACTGATGGATAAAATATAACCACATTAACACATATTGACAACGAATTTACACTGAGGTGGCATTCAGAATTCTAAGAGATGTTTCCACTCTTGATCAGATAAATTACCATATGGTACCAACGCTTTTCAGTTTTGACAGATACGGTTTGTATCTGCAAACTCAAGGAGAATAAACATAAAATACACAAAAAGATTATAGGAACATGCTATATGAACCGAAACACAAACTTTAGAAAAATTGTAAATGATGAGTTTATCTGCTGAATATCATGTACTATAGACCAACATATATATAGAAACAAACTGGTATTCCAGCTGTGTGCAAAATCTAAATAATCAGCATACTATTGACTACAATATGCAGGTTCCAGGGGTTGAAACTGAGGGCCACCAGCTGGCAAGTACTGCCTGATTACGTTATGTCAGATATATAGCAAAGTTCACTTCGCCCACCCAGATGGGAAAAACTACATGCTTATACTTCATTTGCATACCGTTTCTTTACAATGCATGTTTAGTGCTAACTTTTTCTTGACAGTACTGTCATAATTCCAACTTTCCATATAACCCAGACTTAGCACAACATACAGAGTGGGATGAAGGCATTCAGCTGACAGTCCGCTCTGCATGCTTTAACACACTACTTGGCTACCAGGGACAAATGTTCAGCAGCTGTGATCTTGAGTATATTTCGCCTAAAGTAACTTCTATACCATGAGTTGTTATAAACCATTATGATGCAAATGGTAGGACGTTCACCTTAAAAACAGGACATCACTTCTGAAACGTAGTACTTTATGAAATTATCATCACCTGAATCATCATGCTATGTAACAAGAAACAACCAAGATATTAATGTATGTGATGTTTAAACTGCACAGAGATTACTAGTGTCAAATAGGACAGAAAGATTTTCTGAGTGGGAGTAGATAGGTGTTTCAGAATATTTGGTTGTGACTTGTTTTAAGGGTTGATCCCATCAGTTGCTTTTAAGACAGAGAATATCTGAGAAGCCCATTCAACAAATATTGTAACCTGGTGGGTATTTGAAATGGTTGCCTCCAAAATAAAAGCTGCTTCTTCACACTTTAATCCTATATGAATGCAAATCCCTCCCTCTTGACTGTTACTATAACATGGTAGGAAGGTTTGTATGCCCTGATCACTGGAGATATGCCAGAAATAGCATAAGCTCCATGTAGGGTCACCCACACAAGACAGATTGAAGGTCAGAGGCCAGATGAAAGGCAACCCTGGTCTTCCAAGTTGAGTGTTCAGTGAGAAGCTAACATCTTCATCTCAGAAAGCAATATATTTAGCAAAATCTTACATTTGATGCTGGATGTATAATTTAGGGGAAGGACCAAGGAAATGTTGGAAGAGGTAGAGGAAGATGTACATGAGCTAAAAGGGAGGTAAAGGTAAATAACAGTGAATAATTGGCATCTGTCATAATAAAAAGCCATATTTATCTGGGGACTGAGAGTAAGGAACATAAATTTTAAGAATTCTAAATGTATGGTGATGTCCCAATTATATAAGACATGTATCACACATCATACATTTAGAACAGCTATCTTCTCAAGATCATGCTATAAACTTATCTCCTGAGCCTTGCAGAGTGCAAAGGGTTACCTGTACTACCTTTGGGTTGAGGTCTGATCCCTGCTGCATAAGAGTGCCAATGGTGAACCAGAAACTGTTGGCCAATGAGAACTGATTCTCCACGAGATGATTGTCCACATCACAGGGATGTGGATTGTGCCACTCATATGGTGAGAACCGAGCCACCACAAACATTGTGATGGATACTAAAACATAGGCTGCCAGCACATACAGCCAGATGTCCACTGCCAATGGATTCATGAAGCTGAACAGACGTGTTGGTTGACTGGTTGGTACCTGCAGAGTGGCTTTCTAAAATTAGAAATCTGAACAGACTTGGTGCTTGCACATTAAATGCTTCAGATTGTGGGTCCAACTCTCTAAACCAACCACTGATAACAGAATGTAAGACAAAAACAGGAAGTTCAACTTCATGTCGGTCAGTGTACATCTCACTAGTGATGTATGAATTGGCTAAGGCAGGAAAATGGGGACTGATTAATTCTTGTTTCATTTGCAATGCCTTTACCTGCTTAGATTACATTGGATAAAAGAGTGGGATAACTAAGGATTATGAGATGGAAAGGGTGTGCAAATGCAATCATATCATATAGCATACTGTACCCACTACTTTTTTGCGTGACTGAGAAATATTATGGAAACTGTAAGGTAGGGTATCTAGTCTCCAGAATATAGAGCCAGAGTGCTACCCACTCTACCTCAGTGCTCAACAGGAAATTTAGAAAGTAAGCTACCTAAAACTGAATACAAATCTATTAAACACAAAGAAGGTGTAAAGAAACCTGTTTTTAGAAAAATAACATAAGTTTGATAAAGGATATAAAGAACAAGTACATAAATTGGGAAAGACGACATTCCCTTTACCGTCTTTCCATCTTACTTTGAACATCCATGACATATGGTAGGGCAAGCAAGCCATGAAGGAACTCGAAGGAAGGAAAGAAAAAAAACAAAAGGGAATTGAGGAATCAAGAAGACTTATTATGTCAAGGGAGACACAGAAAAGAGTAACCTTTCAGATTCAGATCAGAATCCTGATGATTCAGGAGAACAGCTCTGAAAACTAAAAATAAATTTGGGTTATAATGGAACAGAGGTGAATTTTGAATAATATAATTTTAATTGAGTTAACCAAACATTGCAACTATTCTATAACTGCAATTTGCCGTTGTGGAGTCTTGTTCTGGAGGCAGCTATTTTAACTGAAGGTTTCTGTGGTATTCCTCAGTTCCTCCAGTCAAATTCTGGTTTAGTACAGTAAAATAGGCTATGAATGTTTCCTTCCATGTCATTTCATGTTTGGTGAGATTAAACGTATGCAGCTGAAAAAGTGTCATTAAGTTCATTAAGAAACAAACAACAGCTGAGTGGGTGGACAGCAAAAATGACGTGGAACATGGAAAAGGTACAGAGAAAGCAGAAAACGTTAAAATTGGTACCAGAAAATCTGCAGGGCAACATGATGGAGTTCATACATAGGATCGGGTACAATATGGAAAAATAAGTATGAAATACTAAGAAACAAATTCTAACAACATACTAGGATTAAAAGCAATAAATTTCTTGGAATGAAATAAAGTATGGGATGCTAAGAAGCACCAGTCTACTTCAGAGATTGATGCAAGAATTCTGATAGGAAGAGGATGTGATGGGCTACCTTTGGGTTGACGCCGGAACCCTGCCGCAGTAAGGTGCCAGTGATGAACCAGAAACTGTTGGCAAGTGAGAACTGGTTGACGAGGTAATCTGGCCTAGGAAGCCATGGGCGTGGGTTTCGCCACTCATAAGGGGAGAAGCGTGCCAGGGCGAAAAGTGTGAAAAAGGCCAGAGAAAAAGCAGCCAACGCCAGCAGCCAGATGTCAAGCCCCAGGGGGTCCATGAACGTGAAGAATGTTGACTCCTTGTCTGTCGGCACCTGCACTCAATCATCAACTCAATACTTACCAAAATTCCAACAATCCAAAATCGACCCAGGAAGTTCAAAAGCAACCCAAATCTTAGGTTATCTTTCAAAAGAACTCTTGCTGTCCTAATTTATTATATATATTTAAAAACTTAATATCTCCATGATATGTATGCCGTGTCCATCTTGTAGTGCACTCAATTTCACCTGTTATTTCACAACATGTTTCGGCAACATAGTGCCATCATCAGGTGCTCCATTTACGTTAATGTATTTCATTGCTTGCCATTATGTCATTGTAAAATTATTTTAAAAATATTTAAAAATATTCGTCAATTATAATAAATTTTTATACACTAAAATCTTGTTAAGATATTTTTGTATAAAAATATATTATAATTGACGAATATTTTAAAATATTTTTAAAATAATTTTACAATGACATAATGGCAAGCAATGCAATAGATTAACGTAAATGGAGCACCTGATGATGGCACTATGTTGCCGAAACATGTTGTGAAATAACAGGTGAAATTGAGTGCACTACAAGACGGACACGGCATACATATCATGGACGAAATTCAGTGCAACAGGATGCTAAAATACAACATTACAACTTAATATCTGACACATGAACGTCAACCCAACACTCTCAAATTATCTCAGAATTAACTGTTAACTCCAACGTCAACATTTTGTGGCGTGAACTACTACCTACATCATTAAATAAACAATAAAAAATGAATCCCATTAAATTAATATTAATCAAAACTCACCAAACATCCCAACACTTGCTCATTATACCAATATCCTGTATTCATGTCCACACATTGAAAGTATTCTAATGCTCCATGATCGCCCTAAGATATTGAAGGAGTGCTAACAGATTAACACATACTACCCAGCATTCATGCAGTGTTCCAGAAAGAACACTTTCATTATTTCGAATGTTATTCCACACACACTGAAATTTTCTAAACAAATTACATAGCATAAACCCAGTACTCTCTATATTGCAGTACTGTGTGTTAGATCCAAAATGTTGAAAATATTCCAAAACATTAACATCAGCCAACCCATGACTCACACAAAATCCCAAAACTCTCTAAATGTCTCAATATATTACGTTCAACCAAATGCAATGAAAGCGTCCAATTACATTAGCCTCAATTATCCAAATGCTCCTGAAACTTCATATTAATTCATTCATTACAGTTATTAAAATTATCTCTACAATTTATCATCATCCACCACAATACTGACACAACATCCCCATGCTCTTTCTTTATTCAAACAATCTATGTGCATCCCAACACACCGAAAATATTCCAACATAGTAATATGAACCAAACACACAGTGAAGATTCCGATATTTTCTCATTATTCAAATACTCCAAGTCTATCCCAACATATTACCATCAATTTAACATTCATCCAATTTCCCAGTACACCACGAAAATATTTATAAAATAAATCAGTCCCATATTTTGAACAAGGTCTTTCTACAGGAAATAAGTTTTTGGTTCCCAGAATTTTTAATGTAATACATGGTATAAATCTATGTGTTAAGGATATAGCTGCCAACTTTTTTTTGGGGGGGGGGGAGGGGACTAATCATCTGCTCCCTCCCTTCTGGAAATGAAACTGAAGTAAGAAAAGAATATTTTCAAGCATTAATAATAAAAACCTTAAATATTTTATAGTTAGTAAAAATAAATTAAAAAGTCTTAAACATAAATATGTATGCTAATTTTTTTGGGTCTTGGAAAAATGATTTATCCCGTGGAAAAACTGATTATGTTTTTCCTCCACTATTAACATAAGATCTTCATGCACCATCTTATTTGGTTCTCGTATTTCAGCTTTCTCTTAATCCTTTTTGGTGAGACAATGTTTCAGGGAGAAGGTTGCTTGAAACAACATGATACATCTGTGTTACCTTAAACAAGATGCTGATACCAAGGTTCATGAAAGGCTTCGTGAAGTCTATCACACTCTCCCGGGCATAGTTGATCGTCATGGAGCCCACTGCCAGGTCAGCTTTCTGTAGTCAGAAAGTCACGTGGATTTAGCTTAGAACATGTCATCCTCATTATGATACATGATTCATTCTTGGGTTATTTAAGTATGTTCCTTCAACTAAATGTGCCATATTTCGTCAAAAATGGGCTGACTCTGTGACAGATGAATTGCAAAGAATGTGAAAGGAAGTGGCCGTAGTCTACTTTAAGATGCAGTACTTTATTTATCTCAAGGGAGCGATGACGGAAATTTCAGCCTGCCTCCGTTCACAGGTTCTAACCCCGGACCTTCTGAATATGAAGGAATAATATAAATTAGGTACATCTTCATGCTTAAACGTGTCGTGTTTGTTTTCAGTTGTAGCATACCGTCATATGCTAGGGTCTGGACTACTCTGTTGACAAATTCTGCAGAAATATTGTGTAGGCTACTCATTCAAAGATTTTTAACAATTCCGGAAATATTCGAAGAAAAGGGTAATTCATCATTATTTAAAGAGCACAGAATTTGTGAAAGCTTACGTTCTAAATTTAGAAATTGTTAAAGACGCTGAATTTTTATATTTTAATTATATATAGAGTATTGAATGTACAGCTACACTTGAAAGTGTCCATCTCCTTAAAAACATCATAACTTTACGCTACCGCCTGCAAGAATGTGTCCGGCCGTGCAACAGTGTCATGGCGCAAGAGGAACGTCTTCAGAAAATCTTGGACCCAGGAAAATTGTGGACTGCGACAGGAATTGGCCGCCGGCAGGTGTGGCACGGAGCAAGGGAAATTTCGTCAAAGAAATATTCGACCAGGGACAATGTAGGACAAGAAACCCGGAAAGGGTGAAGAGACGATGGAAAGGCCGGCAATGCAGAACAGGAATAAAGAATATAGGCTTTCACGGCGGTGACTATGAAGAAAGCAGTCTTCTGGGATTTGGCACCGTGTATATGTGGTGTNGAACTCAACGACGAACGGCACGGGAGGGTAGAGCCCAGGATAGTGAGCAATAATACCCAAGACAATGAACAATATTTAACACAATACAAACAGATTTTTGGCGGCCCGACTTGCGACCCCCTGTACTTACGGTCATATTTTTCATGTCAAATTTACCCTGAACGCCTTTTAACTTAGTCCGCAGCTCGCATTCAGGACTGCACGCGATTATTCAGATGAAACAGAAAAAGTTCCATTCATTTCTGATTCTGTCCAATAACCCTCTCTTCCAAAAAGTTCAAATTATGTAATAGGAGAGAACTGATTTCTTTATGTACATTTTTAAACTGGGTTTTATTTGACTTATTTTTGCATCGAATGCGTACATTCATTCATTAACAAATGTCTGTAAAAGCATGTGATTAGTATTTTATTTCGTTTTATTCCATTTTCTTCGTCAGTTTTAGTAATTTTAGAGTATGATATAAGTTCCCGCGATCACAGTGGCTGCGCGGGCTACGGCATTAACTGTCCTCTCTCGCTTGAACGCTGATATCGTGGATTTGAATCCCAGTCAAGACATAGATGTCTGTGCGTAAATAAAGGTCTTGCCATAAGCTGATCCCTGGTTCAAGGAGTCCTACCGATTGTGTATAGGATTAAGAAACTGAAGAAGAGGCCAAGGTCAAACAAAAGACTGTAGAGCCATAGATAGGTAGGTAGGTAGGTAGGTAGGTAGACAGACAGACAGACAGATAGATAGATAGATAGACAGACAGACAGATAGATAGAAATAAGTTACCAGGAACAGAACTGCAATTTATAACATTCCTCATACGGGAAATGTGGATTCGACTTAAACGGCTCTCCAAGAACCAATTAGATCACTGTATTCGTATAATCAGCCAGACTTACCATCCCGTTTTCAATATCGACCAAGCATTCAATCATGCTGAAGTTCATCCACTTTCTTTTAGCATCTCCAAGCAAATAGCATTCATTAAACTAGGAAGGGCATTTTCCCTTTACATTTCATACTCATTATCCGGGTTCATTCAACAGAGCTAGCGGACCGTAGCTAAGCAACTAAAAATAAAAATCTTTGGCACGCTAGACTTCATCTAAAGCAAGTACGGATGTGTTCTGGGGCCCTACCTTGTCCATGAGCTGACGAACAATGCCGTTCCACTCGCCACTCTCCAGGTCGTAGACGCCGTACTTGCCGTCTGGGACCAGTTCAATGTGGTACTCGAAGCCCACCATGGCAGCGATCTCCTTCAAGAGGTCAATGCAGAAACCCTCATACCTGGCGTTGCCGGTCAGGTTGCCCTGGGCTCGATGCATGACGTACGGGGTCTCCTAGAGGCATCACTAGCTACAGTGCAAGGTGCGAGCAGGGCTCAACGGGGCAACACCCGTGTCGGCCGTAGGGAGACAGACACAACCAGCACAAAGTGTCAACACAAGCTGAGGGCGGAACAGCAAACAAACGGGGACAAAGAGAGAAATGAATAAAAAGGGAATGAAATAACCAAAGTCAGATAAAACAAAAACAGGGAAATACAAAAATAACAACGAATTAAAATAATTTTAAAATTTATTTTGTACCTTATTTAAATGTCAGTAATTCAGATTTATATAGCGTCAAATTATATGATTGTTGGTGAATGTCGGTTACGGTAGCCGAGTGGTCTGAGGCATGTCCTGTCCTTGCTCGCTCGGAAGCCGGGATCGTGGGCTCGAATCCCACACAAGGCATGGATGTCCTGTGTTTATGAGGCTTTTCGACGAGCTAATCACTCGTTTAAGGAGTTCTATTGTCTGTAAAATTACAGAGATCAGGGCCCAAGGGGGCTGTAGTGCCAGTGGAAAGAAATTAATTTGAATAGACGCAGAGAAAATCGAGGGTGACCTAACCTAAAGTACTATCCAGGCACCTGCTTGAAGGAAATGAGGAAACCCACGAAAAGCATCAGTCGGTACAGATGATTTCCCGGCCCAGACTCGAAAGCAACACCTCGGAAGTATTGTCGCTTCAGCGAACTTGCTAGGTAGTGAACACATAAATGAATCAATAAATAAATTCATTATTTAAAAATCGTAATAGTTTATCAGAGCTGAGACTGAGTATAGCAGCTGACAGAACACGATCTCGCACAAAACACTGAGCGGTGTCAAACAGAGGGCGCATTTATACTCTGAAAAGCAGAAACTGCAAGAATAACAAATGCCTAATTCAGTACGAACATGAATGTATAAATTCGAAGAGGATCGTCTTCAGGAATGTGGCGCCGTGCAGATCTTGTGTGAATCGAAGTTTATGAGGAAGGTATCACCTCAATTTTCAGGGTATAAAAATCCGAGAGTGAGGAACCAGCGTGGTCTGCAGCCACCTGCTCACGCTGTTCCCTCGCTCGCAGATTTTTCTACCCTGAAGATTAAGGCGATACGTCCCTCCGAAACATCTGTTCAGGCAAGATCTGCACGGCACCACATCCCTGAAGACGTCATTTTTCATAGTCACCGGCGAGAAACATAGAAACTTACAAGGCGTAAATCAATTTAAAATTAAAAAAAAAACGAACGAGTGATGGATCCTGCAGGTTGCTGTCGACATGCAAACCAACTGTTAAGGATTCTTCCCGCCTCCAAAAGTTCATTTTATATTCTCACTGGCGATATTCATGTGTAACTTATTTTAAACTCGTTTCTGCATTTGTAAAAGCAAAGCTTCTGTTATTTGAAACGAATTTATAGGTAAATCGGATATATTTCCAGATTACGGAAACCAGAGTAACGGATACATTAAATTGGTTTAAAAATTCCTTTAACGTGGTTTATTTTACGAGGCAGTGCGTGCCTCAGTACAGCGTTGAACTGTAGGATTCGTAAAGAATAAATTAGAAAGGATGTGGAAGGATGCGGTCATGATAAAATAGAAGTACTATCCCAGAATTTGAATGGTGACTGAAGAAAACCATGAACAACCTCAGTCAGTAAAGCAGGTGTCCCGACCCATATTCGAAATTAGTACGTCCAAAATACAGCAATCTGATCGGCTAAAGCTCCTCAGTAAAATTGAGTCGATGTTTTTACATGTTTTTTCTTTAATGTCTACAGGATCTTCTACGTTCTTTCTCACATTCCTAAGTATTTCTATCTCTTCCTCTTTTTCACACATTCAGAGAACTCCAGAGGGGTGGGAGAGCCAAAGGGCCTCTATCATTAAGTGACACCGTTGAACATCCAGGCTTCCAGAGGCACTGGAACACGTGAAGTATTAGAATTTTATGGCTATTTTGGTTGAATTCCTATGCGCAATGTAGCCATTTTCTTAAACGATAAGGCAATGTTAGAAATATTAATATGATCGTTTATTAAAGAATGAAGGTCAATTTGGCGAAATATTCATAACTTTTGGTTCTCCTTTGAGAAAAATCACTGTTCAAAATTTAATTTTATACCTCACGGGATATACGTTACGTCCCCGCTATGAAGATTAAGTGGGTCGTGTTGTGCGGGGAAATGACCAGTCTTTGCTGTGAGAAGCATACGAAACACAGAAATATACTCTCTGGAGAGAATGCAGAGTTTTAGTATGTTAAGACATTTAATATACACGTATATAATACTGGACTGCAAAGGATTAACAGCATATATAAGTAAAAAAACCGGAGAAGAGTTCTTGAGAACCTGAAATTTGCTCATACACAGAAAGTCCTCTCCTTCTATGGGACGCGAAGAAGGTTCGTTATAGTGTTCACAAGAGCAGACACATATACACGCATAATTGAATTGAAAAGCCATTAAGAAGCATGCACTCAGAAAGGCGAAGATGGTGCAGTGGCATCTGCTACCTTCTAAACGCTAACAAATAGTACCTGCTTAAACTTAAGTACTTTTATTGACCTATTTTCCTTTCATAGAGTTTAAGGTTATGCTTATGCAATCACAATGCTGCCTCTGCCTCTATTCTTCCAAATGCCTGATTTTCACGAAAAGTTATGTGGATAGTATGCCACTGGAGAGAGACGCCTTATTTGTATGTATCATTTACTTATGGCCAGTACTGAAAATATGGCGAAATACGAACATCTGAGGTGGGAGTGGCACTAGAGACGCTTATGTTATGTTCTTGAAATTATATATGTTAATATATGGCAATAATATTTTACCTTAGAAATTTGAGAGGCTGTAATGTGGGTGTTACTGATGGGAGAGTTTACAAATTATGCTCTTCAGATGGGCTCAGGTGTCTTGATATACATGCCAAGTTTCATACAGATTGGTTCAGCCATTCGAAAGCTAACGAGGTGCATTCATATACAGACACACAGAGGGCATAGCGATCTCATAAGCCTACTTTATTTTTTTCAAAATAAGGAAAGTAGGCTAAAAATGGTAAATTGTCGGAGGACTAACATATAGCAAAACTGTCTCGGAAGGATTCTCTCTACTAATCTACGTTAAATCCTGTCAAGACAAGGATTTCGACCTACAACAAAGAATTATTAAGTTGCGTTCATTTCACAGGCAATCAAGAAGGCAGAACAGAAATGACGACAGTTCGATATATGACAATAAACACGATTACTGCAGTCATCATTATGTTACCCTTCATTATCTTCTGCACGAGAAAACAATCACAGCTGGTACTGAAGACAATGGGGGCACGCGGTAGCGTAGTTGGTCGAGGCACTATGCGGGTTCAAACCCCGATAAGGTCATTGGATTTTTTATATTCCAGCTCCACTGTGGCCCTGGGGTCGACTCAGCCTCTAACAGAAATGAGTACAAGGAATAGTCTTGGAATGTTCTTGGGGGTAAAGGGCGGCGGGCGCGTAAGGCTGACAACCTTGCCGCCATCTATGAGCCGATTGTCTAGAAAATGTGGGAACCTCAACATCTCACAACTCTATGGGCTTCCACGGCCTGTTACAGGTATACTTTTATTTTTTTTTTTTACTGAAGACATTAAGATCTACGCAAAGATGTCCGAAAGCGTGACATTACTGCTGCCTACCCCGACTAGACTGATTAATACTCGTACACTAACATAAGAAAGAACTAGGCAATTGTCCTTGAATATCTTTATAACACTTCGGCGCGGACCGCGTTGACAACAGACCGTTTTTCCGTTACACGCGTAACCGTTGCCGCGGGAACCTGTTTACCGAGCCGATGCCCAGAAACGGGTCTGGTACAACGGCCCATTGCACAATCGTTCCATAGCAACGGCTATACACGCTACAGTACGTATGCGTCCACTACACTGTTTGTAACGATGGTCCGAAAGTATCAACTGAAGTTGTTGATGACTATTGTGTTTTGTTCATATGTGAATTCACTAATCACATCCGAAGAAAGGATGATTTTTCCCAGGTGTGTTCATGAAATTCTCAATAGTTTAAGTGAACTACAAAGAAATAAATATACACATATTAGAAAGAAATAACGATTTTCTTTAGTTCGTAGGTGAGGCAAGAAGGAGACTCGTTGGAAGCCGTTATCATCCAGACCTAAAGGACGACCTAAGAAGATATGGGAAGAAAATGTTTTACAAGACTTTCCAATCATGAAGCTCGAGAGTTGGAAGATGCGTGTACGAAGGAAGGACCAATGGAAGGTTAGCCAAGACCCATTTCGGGTTGTAGAGCTGTTACAGAAGAAGGGTGGAGTGAGACTGTGTCCACTTGGTATGCCTGCCACTAGCGGGTCCACCCTACGAGTCCCGGATGATAGACGAGCGTGCAGCAGTTTGCAGATTGAAAGCTGGCAAAAAAACTGAAGGGCTCAGAGAAAAATTGACCCAGTGCCACTTTTTCCACCTTAAACATCGCACCTGGAATCGAGGTGGAAAGCCGACAACCACCTGAACCTAAGAACAGCAGACAATATAATTATACATGACTAGGAATCAATATAAAAGAAAGTGAAGCTGTCCATGCATCAAAGTACCATGACATAAAGAGGTGATATGCAGAGGTTCACAGGTTCTTAACCTGGACACTTCTCGCAGACAGAAATCTGGGCTATCCATTGAATGAACCTTACGTCCATGTCTGACAGCGGTAGTGAAGACAGAATCGCGCCCTGCTCACAATTCTTCACTCACTGAAGGAGATATTCCATTACACATACTAAGGGGAAGGTTTGTTGTAAATGACTGCAGTTGGATCTTGCCAGGCTGACTAGAGCACACGGTAAAATCCCAAGCAAGTAGTGGCAGAGGCTCCCAAAATGGACCTTATGTTCATGACGACATATTTATGCTTTGTATAAGGGGTGGGTCTTCTCGGCCCTTGCACCGCGACCTACAGTGTCTATTGTGCTTTGTTTATGCTTTACTCTACTTGAACTACTGGTGTCTGCGACAGGAAGGTGGGGGTAAAGCAAGAGTTCCTACTTGGTTATAACCATAAAAAGAAAACCAGAGCTGCTGTGTGTTTTCTAAATACTGCGCAAGAAGTCTTCACGAGTACATACATGCTTCATGAGCTGGAGCACCATGCCGTTCCATTCGCCACTGACAGGATCCTGAGCGCCATATTTCCTGTCTGGGGCGAGTTCCAAAATGTAGTCGAAGCCGACGTACTGTGCTGTTCTGTTCAGAAGATCCACACAGAATCCGTAGAAACGAGAGTTTCCGGTGTAGTTCTTGCCTTGATGCATCATCACAAATGGACTCTCCTGAACAATGGCGGTTATTCCATTTCAGAATCACGATAGAAATGTTCTCCCGTACTCCAGTAACAGTTGACTACATCTATACTTGACGAATGTCTAGGTTAATTTTAACATCTCTGTATCAGTTACAAAGTCTACGCATATTATCACCCTGTTCCATCTTCGAATGTTATATAACACACAACAGGATGTGAATATCATCAAGAATGGTGAGGGTAGCTATGAATTTGAAAGGAACATTCATGGATCATTTTAAGGAATTATGGAACAAGGTTACGGTCTAGAAAACCGAGATTAATGGCCTTGGGAATCCGTTGCGCTGACCAAGCGACACTCTCTATCCGCAAAAGTTGGCACTAACTTCGCCGACAAGCGGCGGTCGCTCGGTCGGTATATTTCGCTTGCGGACTAAAAGCCACGGAGTTATTATAGAATATGGTGGCCGTCTAAACACGTTTTGGCTTTTTGTAGGCGTTGTATGCCTTGATTTATTAGCAAAACAAGACGTATAAAAAGGATAAACACAAAATAAACATCATCTTGAAACTGTCTGGATATCCTCATTCATGAGACCCAATAACGGAGCCGAGATTCATGGTTTTTCTCAGTCTCTCAAGGCAAATGCTTGATTAATACCTCGAAACAGGCCGAGACAGCTCCCTTAAACATCCCTTTGATTTCTTTATTCACTGATCATCATATTGTAGCGTGTACAGCCGTTGTTATGCAATAAAGTCGAGATATGCGAATAAACAACCGTTTCTATTCAACGGATCGGTAAACACGTTCTCGCGGCAAAGATTACACACGCAACAATGGAGTTACTGTAGGAAACGGTGTTTTGTACTTGGTCCGTGCAAAAGAGTTGTAACGAAGACAAGTGGGGAGACCCAGTCAGTTGAGAGTTGAGTTCTGCAAGGGAGACTAAGTCCAGTTGTGGGATATTCGCCGGACATTAATGACGTGAGCACAGAAGCCGAAGAATCTCCACTGTTAAGAGCTGTTATTAAGCAACGACTAGTGAGAACACTGCATGCTGGAGAAAACTTAGCGTGTAATGATTTGTAAAGTGTGGAATTCAACGACAGCGTTAATAAGTGTTTGTAGTTCCGAGTCTTGTGTGTAAGTGGTCAATAAATCCAATCACCAATCCAAACCCCGTCTATACCACCCCTAAAATGTGACAATACCATTCAACGATATATGGTCTGAGCTACTCACAGTGTTTTTAATTCAGCCATAAATAAATAAATGAAATTCTACCAATATAAAATTATTTAAATCCTTAATAGAAGTAAGGGATGTTACCAATGTCCCAAATTTCGTCTTTAATAGTAATAAAAATACAGTATGCGTGGTTCCTTCACTGGTAATTCAATACCGCCATTTTGAACTACAGAGATTATATGAAATTGAATGATGTACAGTTACAGATTTAGAACTGGTAGGAACGCGATGGAAGCGGATTTCGACTATTTCAATGCAATCGCTGCTTTCATATTGAGGGATTAAGTAAAAGAGTACAAGACTGAGTCACGATAGCTGGTACTCTGGTCGAAATTGAAGTTGCGTAAAGATTCAATAATCCAAACAGCATAGAAAATCTTTTATTTTTACTGACCCCATTTTCTATAAGGCCCGTGCTCTTTCCTGAAGAAAAATTGATTGGTTTCTTGTCGGTACGATATAAAACAAACTACTTTCAACCCTTCTTATTACAGCGGACTGGATACAGACATAAGATACACATATCTTGTTACGTGCAACGTATGTAACATTCTTTCTATACTTCTAGATTCTGTAGCTAAGCACAGAAGTCTCACTCCTTTATTTGTTCATTAACTTACTTTCGGCCTGCGTTGCTACAAACCCTGAGCAACTGTACACATTTTGTGTAAATAAATTAACAATATAACGATTAACATTCGATAAATTCGAGACTTGATAAATAAGTTGCTATATCATACATTATCTGGATTTGAAAGAGAATCATCATTTATCTTTATAAAAGACATCTTGAGCCGTTACATTTATTCATTCATGAAGAAGCAGTAAAGTCCATCAGGTGTAACACGTTTAATAGGAAAATGTAAATTGTCCACAACGGCAAGCCTCACACACTGCCAGCGGTGGCCGAAACATATGGAGGCAAACTATTATGTTCTCCTGTTAAACTTGTTACAATTGAGGGTTCTTACTATTTATTCATGTAGAGATACCAAGAGCCGATCACAGTGACCGCTCGGCCTAAGGCATGAACAGTCGTCGACTGCTCTAACACTAGGGTCCTGGTCCTGGGTTCGAATTCCACTCGAGACATGGATGCTTGTGAGCGTTAATTCTGAATTTATGTAGTTCTGTGTGTAGGTAGCGGCCTTGCGACGGGCTGATCTCCCGTCCAAGGAGTCCTACTGACTGTGTATAAGATTAAGAAACTGAAAAGCGGCCAAGGCCTAACAAAGGACTATACACGTATGAATGGATGGACGGAAAGACAGTTAGACAGACAGACAGATAGATAGATAGGGAGACAGAAAACCAGACAGGTAGGTAGGTAGGTAGGTAGATATTAGTAGATAGATATCCATCTATCTACGGACGGACGGACGGACGGACGGACAGACAGACAGAGGTGCAAAGATCATTATGAACGAAATGTTCAGAGAAGGAAAGACTTTCTGTAGGCGACATTAAGTGATAAATTGAGGGGCTGAAGAAAACAGTAAACATTTCAGTCACAAGAGCTGATTCTGTGTTTTAGATTGTAAATGGAGTTTACAAATTCCAAGTAAGGCCGCCGAAGATTACACTGTGGCGCACTCGAAAATTAGTATTACTATTTATTGAATGTAGTATAAATAATATTTAATGCAGTTCAATTAATGTTCCACTTACGTTAGTAATTTGAAGAAAGTTACGTATATATTATGACAAGCTTCACATTATGTACTCAACACATGGTACTGTTATTGAAGTAGACGCTCTAGAACTATCAGACATACACTACCACAGTCAATAAGTTCGTGGAATGGCCGCAAAGCTTCGTACGGGAATTTACTGCCAATATATTTCAGCAATGTTTTCGACAGCTATATCAACGTTGGAAGACTTGCATAGCGACCAACGGCAACTATTTTGAGGGCAGAAGTGGATCTGTGTAAGTGCATGTAAATACCTTATAATATGATGCGATAAAACCACATTCCACGAACTTAATGACTCTACCACGCATAAAGCAAAAGTTTGAGAAGGTCTCGAAAGAAGAGACAAATTGAGAGATATTGCGAAGAAAGGAGACATGTTTGAATTGGATGGAGTCTATTCAGGATATGAGCAAATAACATGTTTAGAAACACCATGAACACGTAGTTTCTTGGACATCCTTTTTCCTAGTTTACTTAACAAAAACAAAACTCCGTGGCATGTAATCTTCAAGCAAACTATATCTACCGAGCGGCTGCCGCTTGTCGGCGAAGTTAGTGCCAAGTTTTATGGACAGAGGGTGTCACGTGGTCAGCGCAACGGATCCCCAAGGCCGTTAATCTCGGTTTTCTAGAACAACAATGTCTAAATTTGCAGATTATAGGCCTATCGCGTTGTGGCGGTTGTGAATTTTAAATTACGTGGAATATAGAGGCCATGGCATACTTAAGAAACATGTTCAGTTAAGTTTCCTATAGATGCTTAGGAATTCCACAAAAGATCTCAGTCAGGGTAGCCGAACTCGAATAGAAGGCTTCCCAACGCTGTTGGGAGTTGTTTACGGCTACGTATCTTTTAAAAAGCTTATATAATTGGACATGAAATATTAAGAAATCATAGTGCGTAAAATTACGTGTTCGAAAGAGAATTAAGAAATCATTTCCATAAGAAATTTTAGTATAAATTACCTCAAACATCTCAATCCGCCTTTGAGTTTCACAATGCGTGATAAGGTTTCGTACTCTCTTAAATTTGCCTTTACTCCGAATTCCCTCGCAGGCTAACATGTCTCCACAATAACAGTTTCAATCCCACTCTCATCAAGCCCATTTGAAAGAGTGCCAAATACATTTCCTCTGAATAATGAGAATATACGGGACGGACATGCGGCCCATAACTAACACGACCGGAACTCAACGACGCAATAACAATCCATTTTTCTTTCCGAATGATCCGCAGAGTTTGCGTTACTTTGGCATACTGAACGATATTTAGGCGTACATTTGAAGTCCTCACGGCGGCGACCATTAAGAGTACTGTCTTTTTGGATGTGGTGAAGTATAGTCTGGTTTCTTACCGAGATTTCGAAGGAACAGGCTGTCTCAATTTTCAGTGTCGAAAATTCCTCCAAAACTCCAGTAAATATCTATCACACTATAGGGCGTCATATCCCAGAAGACAGCAGTATTCTGTTCTTGGACCGCCTCTGTGGTCTAGTGGTCAGAGTTCCTGGCTACAGATCCAGAGGTCCCAAGTTCGATTCCTGGCGCTACCAAATTTTCTGAGAAATAGTGGGTCTGGAACGGGATCCACTCAGCCTCGTGAGGATAATTTAGGAACTATTTCAAGGAAATTGTGGCTCCGGTCTAGAAAATCGAAATTAATGACCGTGGGGATCCGTTACGCTGACCACGCAACACCCTCTATCAGCAAGATTTGGCACTAACTTCGCCGACAAGCGGCGGTGGCTCGTTCGGTATAGTTTACTTGCGCACTGAAATCAAGGAGTTTGTTTGTTGGTTTTTTGTTTTGGGTTATTTAATATTTTGTCTCATCGGAAGTATGCAAGATTTTGAAGGAGGCAGCTATGACCTATTTAAAGGTAGGTTACTATCGCCACTATGTGAGAGATGTGTATATTTTAATTTTCCAAAAATAAACTGAAAAATATTTGAAAATTCTGAAAAAGGCGAAGATTTACATTATGTATAAGAAAAGCAGATCGTCATTTTCCATAATTAATATTTTATAGAACAAAAGAACCCTTCGAAAAAGAGCCAATAATTGAGGATAAACTAATTAATATTATTAAACATTACAATAATCATTGAATGAAAAGTAGTAGTTAGAAAAATATGGAGTTGGCTGTACTGCACTCAGATTATTAAATGTAACATACAGAATTCCGTGTAAAGTAAAAGTAAAGCTATCCCTGTAACAGGCCGTGGAGACCCGTAAGGTTGTGAGATGTTGAGGCTACCACATTTTCTAAACAGTCTGCTCATAGATGGTGGTAAGGCTGTCAGCCTTACGCGCCGCCCTTTACCCTCAGCAAAATTCCTGGTACTCATTTCTGCTAGTGGCTGAGTCGAACCCAGGGCCATAGTATGGCTGGAAGGATTAGGTAAATTGAAAAAATCCACCCCATTGGGATTCGATCCCGCGACCTTCTGGCTTGTAGCATAGTGCCTCAACCAACTACGCTACCGAGAGCCGTGTAATTATATTAATTTATACTAATATCATTAAGACTAGCATTATAACGTTTCAATGTGTTCAGTTATGAGTTAGTTGAAAGTAAAGTTTGCAGACCGTAGAAGCTGAGACAGAGACAGTGGCTGTCCCTGAACCAAGGGAGAGTGGACAACTGACTTACGGGAATGGTGATCACGACAAGAGTAACATTCATGGTGCCGGGGTCGAAGAAGGCGCTTCGGTCGGTAACATTGACACCGGCGCCTGGGCTCCATTCCCCCACTTTGACTAAAGCATGCTGCTTCAGTTTCAAGAGATCTAGCTTGAACTGGATGCGGCGTCCCTCCTTGAATTCTATTGGACCAGTGAGCCCCCTCATCTCCACCTGGAATAACACAAATTTGGCACAAATCAGAGACTAAAGGGGCCCCTACAAGTGTAATTTTTATTCCATAATAAATATGGCTCATTAAATTTCTTTATTAAAATGCAACAAAACAGTTGATGTAAGATTTGAGGCTTTCACGGCGGTGACTATGAAGAAAGCAGTCTTCTGGGATTTGGCACCGTGTATATGTGGTGTTAACCGACGTTTCGGAGGAACGTATCGCCTCCATCTTCAGGGTAGAAGAAAAAATATAAGAAATCTGCAAGCGTGAGAACCGGGAGGCGATACGTTCCTCCGAAACGTCGGTTAACACCACATATACACGGTGCCAAATCCCAGAATACTGCTTTCTTCAAAACAGTTGATTTTAACAGTATTTTTTACACGTTTCGGCTTTTTATAAAGTCATCATCAGGCAAATACACAATTAACTTGTACTTAAGCTATTGAATTGCATACCATATAATTCGGTGCAGTGTTGGATTTTCGACAATATACCATAATATAATAATATAAAACATAAAATACAATAAAAGATAAATATTTTAAACGAGATAAATTATATAATTAAAATATAATAAAGAACTATGCATACAATAGGTCCTATTAAGGTAGGTTGTTGCAATCATAATGTTATGTCATGGAGTTTTGCGGACATATGGCGACAGTTTTCTTGCTTGTATACATGTAAGAAGTGGTTAAAATGCTTGGAGGCCCGTTGGTATGCGTGCAGTATTATACAGTTTTGATATTATTTAATGGGTACCTCTATTTACGTGTATTATGTCCTGTCTGGTAGGAAGGCGGATTGGAAAAAAAATGGCTCATTTATGTTGTGCAAGTAAACAGTCTTTACAAGAAAATATAATATTTGTGGAACTGTTGTAATAGTGACTTCTAAGAGTGAACACTGCTCTAAAATGGGCTCTCGAAAAACATGTCTATATATAAATCTGGTGTTGAGTGTTTGTGCTAAGGGAAACAACACATGGCGACCGGTACAAGAATTCCCTAAAAAGTGACATGTATTTAGTCATGAGAATATTCTGAAGGAACTAGATGCAACTGAACCGAAGATTATACATTTTTTTTACCATGCGTATTTCAACTTATAGCAACTTATTAGAAATGACTGCTCTCCTAATATTTAAGGAGGGCACTCTGATGACAAACGCTACTCCCGCTAGCCAAAAACTTTCTGATACTCTGTGATTTCTGCCCGCTGGACAAGCATTTCGAAGATCTCCAAATTACAAGAGTAATATCACCTCAGACACTCAGTAGAATAATGCAAGGCACTGAAAAAGAACATAAATATATTAAATTCACCTGTGCATTCAAAAGAATTTTTTATTTGGTGATGTGTTAATATAATTATAAAATGTAATGAAGAAAGCAATATAAACCAGGAGAACTATATAAAAATTACTGTAAATTAGAAATAATATGTGGGAGCCGGTTTTTAGTACCTCCGAAATTCAGGTTCCACCTGCAATTACAACTTGGAATAGCATCGGAACAGTAGAGACAAAGCGCTCTTTACTGACAATTCAAACATGGGTTTACCAATTTTATGTCATATAGTGGATGAGATTATACGCCTATATATATACTATATGTATTTAATTTTAGCTGCCGGCGACAGATTTGGACTGGAAGCGACTGGCTCTTGGTTTTGGAACGCGGTAAATATTCATAACATTATCAGAGCAATTGGTGGCACGGATACAGACACTGTTAAACCGTCAGATTCATGCCCCTTGCATTTCAGTTACAAAAAGAATTGCATCATTATTCTGCTTGCTGTCATAAATTCGAAATACAATCACCACGGTTGACGTGGGGCCCAGATGGAGAGTGCCTGAGGGAGAATTGTTCTCTAGTATATATTTTTTTCCGAATGTTGGAAGACAAAAGGCCGAATATCCTTACTTCCGACATTAATTCTTCCGATAAATATCACTTCGTGTCGTTAGTGATCAAAACATTCACTTTAAAAGATCATTTAATGAAATCATACAGCAAAACAAAAAATACGAGAATGAACAAGGACCAGAAGATATATTAGTGCAGATATCTCGTACTCGAGGCATTGCCGAAAATGCATTTGAGATACTTGAAATACTTTTCAGGTTCATTTCGACTAAGACCCATTTGTCACCAAACAACTATACTGGCATGGTAAGTAAAAAGTAAAGCTATCCCTGTGACAGGCCGTGAAGGCCCATAGGGTTGTGAGACGTTGAGGGTCCCGCATTATCTAGACCAGGCATGTTACTCAACTTGTACAGAGGGCCACCTCAGCCCTATAAATAATAGTCTAGGGCCGCACTTCAAAATAGAATTATACATTAGATTTTGATACAAGGAATTTTAATTCTATTTATTATTTAGGAATAATTTCAATATAATTACCTAAAGTCACATATCTTACAGTTTTAAAAAGCAAGAGAGTGCCATTTTTGACAAGTATCAAGCAACTTTTCAATATGTAAAAAGAGAGATTACACAAGAAATTATGTTAGAAATAGCAAAACATTGAATTTCCTGCAGCCTGCTAATTTATGTCTGCGTGAGACTTCTTGTCTTCTGGTCTGTTGGAAAATTGTCTTTACAAAAAATATTTCTACTAAAATTTTAATATTGATTTTAATATCAATTAGTTTTAAATGTTGAGGGGCCGCACTTTGTGGCTATGGAGGCCGCATGTTTGACACGGCTGCTCTAGACAAACGGCTCAAAGATGGCGATAAGGTTGTCAGCCTTACGCGCCTGCCGCGCTTTACATCCCAGGAAATTTATTTAATTAATTCTGGTACTCATTTCTGTTAGAGGCTATGTAAACCCCAGAGCCTAGTGAGGCTGGAAGGATTAATGGTGCCATTTATAAAATTATTTACGGGAACAGTGTAACCGAAAATTCATAAATAAGAGAAGCATGGATTGTGAGGAAATAAATACTGGATTCATTCAGAAGTTCAATAAGACAACGAGGAAGTAATGTCATTACAGCCAACCCAATAACACAATGCTACTGTTCTGGCAAAGAATACAAAAAACAAATATTATGCTTATTTTAATAATGATAAATTCTCTTTTAAACATAAATATCAACAGATTGGAGCACTTGAATGAGTAGACACATAATGGGCAAGAGGAGATAATTTTCCTGCAAGGACAGGAATTTCTCTTTTCACGATTGGATCCAGATATACCTATGTTGAGGCCTACCTTACTTATAAAACAAGTTGTACGTTCTACTTCCACTGGTGTAAAGCGACCAGAGCCTTAAGCAAACTACTCACCTCCATCTACAGACAAGCTTAAATATGACACTCGAATTTAGTCATATGAAAAGCGATGCTGTTCTAACGTTTGCCTTCACCTTTATATGTCTTCGTTCCTGAAGATGGAGTAGCAGATTCCTCCGAAACGTTGGTTACATATATCTGATAGATTTCTGGCATTAATATTAGAAACAGTGATTTGATTAATAAATTCCTGAAACGCGACATAAACAGTGTAGCATCTTTGTGATTTTCTGTCCCTTTCGTCAACAATGTCAACATGGCAGCTATGTGAACATGTTTATTGGAACAACACTGGTACCTTGCAGTTCAGAACGTGAATTTATATTGTGATGATCTTTTATATGGTTATAAATTTATACGTTTACTTCGATTAATTATTTTTAAAGCTTTTGGAGATAACATGGCCACAGCGCGAAATATGAAGTAGCACACCAAATGTCAATTTAAAGATTGCCAGAGCCAATTAAATCATTAACCATACGACGTAGAGGGAAGATGGTAGCTTAGTTGGTTGAGGCACTATGCTAAAGTCGTGGGTTCGATTCCCGATGAGATCATTGGATTTTCCAATTGACCTAATCCTTCCAGCCTCAATGAGGACCTGGAGTCGACTCAGCCTCTAACAGTAATGAATACCAGGAATCTTCCTGGGGGTATGAGCGGTCGGTGCGTAAAGCTGATATCCTCATCACCATCTGTGGCCTGACTGTCTAGAAAATGTGACAGCCTCAACGTCTCACAACTCTATGGGCCTCCACGGCCTGTTACAGAGATAGCTTTACAATTTTACCTCTACCGTACGACGTTACAGCCTGATATACCGAAAGCTTCGTTAAACAGATCTTAGATACATGTGTAAGAAGTTGATTCTGAATTTGAAGAAGAAGATTTATGCAGGAAGAAATTATTTTCTTTGTCATATACTTCATACACGTTACTTTGAATCACTCCAAATGGAAAGCGTTTCAATTAACTGTCTGCAGCTCCGCGTACAAAGTAACTCTGAACTTCAAGAGGAACACAGCCACTTGAGACTGCAATTTGGTTCCTCTGTAACTGACGTTGACACATCTATGAAGAGTTTCTGCGGGAAAGATCGTTGTTTCTGATCTCGACGTACAATGTGGCGGGCTTGTCTACTGACTGATCGAAGGGGCATGTGACGACAGCCGTTCAGCTAAGCGTCCTAATTACCCTTAATTATCACACAAGCTGACGCGCCACAGCCTGAGCGTCAAGAAGCCAATGATTAATGATCCGGAATCTTAATCGTACGTATCTTCTGCCTCGTCAGAAATCTATTAACAGCTCCAAACATAAACCTGGATACCATCATATTGAAGATGTTTCGAGGATTTATTCTGTGAACACAACTTCCATTTCGTGTCTGATGATACAATAACCATATCAAGCCAAGAAGATACCAAGTAACGTAAACTGCTTAGAATCCACAAACTTCTTAACAAAGCTTATCACTTACAACTTTATATGTATATTTCACGAAATGATTCATTATAATTCTTGTTACATGTAGTCCCATTTCTACGAGTAAAATAACAAGTTTCTTAGGATATGAAAATGAAAAATGTAGACTCTTGGAAACCAGCTTGTTGCTGTGGAATCAAAAGGCAACAAATATTTTCCTAAGATATCGATAAGCTATATGCATAAGCTACCGTACAGATA